AAAATAAAAGTAAAAAGAAACAGGCTGCTACAGTTAGTTTTGAACAAAAATATAACTATACATACTATACAAATATGAACTTTAGTTTAAAATAAAAATCCAGAAAATCCATAAAATGATATTTTATAATACTTTCAGCAAACAGCAAATCCATAGAGTTTCACACAGTTCAATGCTATTAGGTGTTACGTAACTATGTTTAAGACAATCTCAGAGATTGCATACATTACATATATTCCTCACATTTACAAATCTATATCAATTTCTCCTAAAAGAATTCATTGTATATACAAATATTTTTATTGCCTCGAGTTGGTCTCTATAAGACCGAAGAAACAAAGTAAAGCTGAGAGCTAGATTTTACTTTAGAAAACCCTAAATGCATATTTATACAATATATCGCGCTTCATCGTACAGCAACAAAGCTGATGTATTTTTGATGTCATTTACAGCAAGTGGACTAACGTGGAAATTCAATTTCACCACAGCATTGTTATCAAAATCAAATATCATTGAAATCAAAATTATTTTCACCGAATATACATACATGTGTTTGAATATGAAATAAAATTGAATTCAACCTATTGTAAACGATCCAAATGTTATATATATTTTGCAGTTCTCGTTGTTTGTTATAGTGGGGTATACAAAAATTTACGTCAGCAACTCGTTTGTCACCTTTTCACACATATAATTTGCTATTTGCTATCTCTTTCCATTCCATCAACTCCGTGCTCTTCTCTTTGATGGGAAGTGAGAGGTGTTAAATGTTAAGCAAACATACTTAATGGGAGCTCACTTGAAAGGGATTGGAAAAAGGAGAGGGAAAGAGAGAGTGGTGCAGCCTCGTATTCAGGTGCGTTGGCCCATAGGCTTCTTGGGTGCAGTCGACTTGGCTGCCATTTGTGATTTGCGTCCGCTGGGGCGTCCATGTGGCCGACTGCTATGCTCCATGTTTGCGAATCCCGCTTCCAAATCTGCGCCCGCTCGTACTCGACGCTCTTTCACCGTCAGCGCTGTACACATCCAGGTTGGTTCTGACGAACGTGGCGACTCCTCGGGCATCGAAATCTAGGGCGAACCCACACATCCACATCATCGATCGACACTTATATACAATTGATACTTACAACTATTGAGTTTGGTAACGACATTATCGAATATTAAAGGAATTTAAAATAATAAGTATAAGGTTTTTTTTTTTCTTTTGTTGTAGAGTCGGTAAAATATGTTTGGTGTATGAATGCTTTAAGGAAATAAAACAAAGCACCTAACCATCGGCACAGCATAGCCTACTGCTACTGCTACTAGAGCTGAGCCAGACAATCTTTAGAATTTGATTAAATACTCTGCTGTAGGAAGAGCGCAACGCGCTCGATGCGATTGCCGTATCCAATCCGTGCTGACAGCCTGCACTGGCTGAGCAGTGAAATGTCTCTGATACCATTGCTCAAAGTCTTGGGGGTTGAGGCGATTGGGACATACGAGCACAAGCGTAGGATGCGGCTGACCTGTTTCACTGACCAGCTGTCCGCCACGCTGGATGAAGAGCAGCCTGGCCAGCTCGTCCGCATCGCGATTATACATGCAGGCGTAGTGCTTGGCAAAGATGTTGAGGCTTTCACTACCCAGCAGTTGTTGCTCCAGTTTTTGCAGCTCATGCTCGTCCACATCCAGGGAGTCCAGCTCTGCATCGCTGATGTCTTGGAGCACTTCCTGCAGCTCATCGATGCTTTCAAACAAATCCGTAAAACTATCACCGAACCTATCGAAGCTCTTCGCAAATTGCAATTGCAGCGCTTCGGTTGCGGATAGCACATCCCTGGGCCGTAGGTCAATCTGCTGCTTATTGCACACACGCAGCAGCCAATCCATGCGTAAAATGTCATTTGTGCGTGGCTGCTGCTGCATCAGACGCTTAACCAGGTAAACCGCATCACCGGCTATGCAGATGCACTTGGGATCGTTGGGCAATGGATTCTGAACAATTGTGCCGCCATTCTGAGCGGCCAATACTTGAAGCTGCTGCTTGCTATGCTCGCGGCAACCGCTCAATATGCAAAAGGTGAAACCCTCAAACAGCTGAGAGCTGCTCTCCAAGGGCTCTGCATCGTAGCGCTTCTCGTAGGCAGCCAATCCGAGGCGATTGCGTTCAGCTGGCGTCATCTTTTGGCGCTTGCGCTCCGTCGTGAAGTCGCTGAGGTTCGCCGGGCGCTTGTTCAGCTTCTTAATGGCGCCACGACCCTGCAAAACGAATATCAAGTAAAATGAATTTTCACTTTTTATAAGAAGAATTGCAGACCTGACAAAGTTGTGTATATTCCTCCAGCGTCATGCACTCGTGCCAGACCTTGTCGATGCGCATCATCTGCGTGCGGGGAAAGTGCAACGATTTGGGCGTGTAGTAGGCGCCGTTGGGCGACAGATCCGCCGCCTTCACTTGCAAGATTATCGACTTTTCGGGCTGAATCCAAACGTCGGGAGCGCCCTCCTTCTCGTTGGGCCTGTAGTGATACCACAGTGGCGGTGGATCCGTGCTCGCATTACGCCAATGGGGCTTCAATTCATTGTGAAGAACGCCGCGTTGGCGCGTATTATTGGCCACGCATCCGATGCTATAGACCTCGTCGCGCTCAGTGCCGCCGCCCGGTTTCAGCACGCCCAACAGGAAAGATTCGATGAAGGTTCGTTTCCGATTGTAAAAGCCGCCAATGATCAGCACATCGAACTCAGTGATTAGGCCCTCTATGTACTGGTCAGAGAATACAAGAGATGAGGATTTTGTTAAAGTAAAAAGCGTTACTCAAAGGCGACACTCACATCCGCTTTGTCCTTGTACCAGCCGCCGCCCACACGCACTCCGGGTCTATAAATGGAGTTCTGTTTCTTTAGCACAATGCCCTCGGCATTGGAGTCAAGCATCTGCTGGAACAGCGTGTTGAAGTGGTCAAGTGAGGTGATTTTCTGACCCCTCATTATCTCCAGAATGCCCGGCTGCTCTGTGAGCAGCTCCTGCAACTTATAGGCGCGCTGCACATATGTCATGTCCAGCAGGCTCTCTCCGTTGAGATAGAGCAGATCGTAGACCACAAAGCAGGGTCGCCAGCCGCGGTCCGGTTTCAAATGCTTCACATCTGTGTTCTCGCCCTTCTCGCGATACCGCATCTGCTGTGTGTCCCATATCATCATTTCGCCATCGAGTATGATCGACTCCATGCCCAACGGCAGCAACGTGCGCAGGTGTGGCGTCAAGGTGCCGCTCTCATAGCTGCCGCCAAAGCTTCTCGTATAATCGGCGCCGTTGCGGGATATATACTTAAACATGCCGCGTGCATAGTGCAGCTGAAATCGCTCACCATCCATTTTCCTTTCCAAATATAGCACATCCGACTCCATAAGGCTTTCGATCTTGCCCGGGAATCTTTCGCACAACATGGGCCGTATTAGCTGAAAGGGCTCAATGATTGTATTTAAATTGATGGTAATGCTGGAGGTGGCGCCACTAGCATTGCCAGCGCGCGCAGACGACGCTTCCTGGGCCATCTTGTTGTCCGCCAACAGTATGCAGATGCGCTTTAGATCTGAACAACGCTGATACATGTCCTTGGCCAGCGGATGAAGCAGCCCGAAAATTCGTTGCTCGCCAATGCCCAAACCCATCGACTTAAGCAGGATGCGTATTAGCCATTTTTGCTCCTCGGCCGAAGCCAGTTCCGTGAAGCGTGTCAGTTCGCGTTCCTTTACTAGAGAGCATATGGAATGAGTTGATTGCAGCATTAGTTATCCAGCTAGATATCCAGAAATAACTAAATACCAGTTGTATCCTCGCTGGCAATAATGTCGAGCATGTCATGGATTTGCTTCAACGTCAGATTACTCGGCTCGTTGTGGCAGCGAGGCCGCAGGACAGCATACACCACGTCTGCATAGTCACGAAATGAGGAAGCAGTCCGATGCTGAAGGCGTATGTAATCACTTGCTAAGGAATGAATATATCAGTTCTTTGGATGCGATAGCGTTGGCTATGGGTTGACTCACAATCTTTGGCAACCTGTAAAATGCGCGAGTAGAGTCGCCCCAGTGCTGTTATCTGCAGGCCGTAGCTATCGCGTGCCGTATCTGCGCCAGGCAGTAGAAGGCGCAGCACTGGATAAAAGCTGGTGGCCCCGTCCTCTGTTTGATTTGCCGTTAGATTAGCGCCCTGGCGAAAAGCATCTCGATGCTTGCAAAAGGAATCGTAGTACCGCTTCAATATGATTTCCTTGCGTTGCGTATTTTTTGCCTCTTTAACTCTTTGCATCATTGTGCAAATGTCACGAAATTTAATTGTGTTTGAAATGTCCATGGCGCGATATGATTTCACCATTGAGGATATGGGAAGTCGGCAGAAACAAGTCACAACAGATCGGAATATATCGATATCCGACACATCATCGATATTTTTGTTATGGTATTTTCTGTGTTAGTAGCTTCCGATAATACTTTCGTTTTACAGCACTGGCAACTATAAGTATAATTTTTCTTCAATTGTCAACAATTCAGAGTTTTACTATACGAAATTCGACTATTTTCAAATGCAATATGTTGTATTTGGAGGACTATTTGGAAAGTAAGTGACACAGAGATGTGCATACAAATCAAATGTCATCAAATACTCATCAATTTTTGTTGCAGTGATTGAGCATCTGCCTCAAGAGCTGCGAGACCGTTTCACAGAGATGCGTGAGCTAGATCTGGCCGTGCAGAGTAAGTAACTAAGTAAACTAGCGTAACCATTTATTAATACTGTCCATTGCTATACACGCTCGCACGGACACACACAAATAGACGACATGGACTCGCTGGATAAGAAGTCGCGTATGTTCTTTCAACAGTGCAAACGCGGTGAGCTGCAGTACGATTCGATATATACGGAATTCCATAGCCTGCGAGGCAACTATTTCAAAGTGATGGAGGATGCGGATGAGAAAGTTGCCATTGCCACCCAAATACATGAGCTCGTCGAGCGCTATCTGCGCCGACTGGATAGCGAGCTGTTCAAATTCAAGTGTGAACTGGAGGCAGACAACAATGGCATTACAGAGATATTGGAAAAGCGTTCCCTTGAATTAGACGGCAACAACTCCACGGCTGCGACGGCACTTCTGCTCAGCATGAATCAGAAGGAGAACCGCTATTATAACACAGGCAGCGGCGTCAACAGCAATTTAATGTCGGGCAACATCAACAGCGCCGCGGGCATCATTACCAGCACGGGCAGCACCAGCGGTAACCTGGTGGTCAACAGCTCCGCACTAAATAGCCTGTCTGGCAATAACAGCTCGTCCAGTGGCAGCCATCAGAGACATCGCAAGCTAGAGAAGCGCCGCGAGACAATCTGCACGGTGCCCGTGCCGGAGAAGCGGCCCAATCTGAATCAGTCGCTGCCCGTGGTCACCGCCGCCAGCAATAGTGTCAGCAGCATTGTCAATCCTGTCAGTGGCAATCATGTCAATGCACTGCCCACTCACGCCTCTCTGCCCGTGGCGCCGAGCACTGCTAGCTCCAACAACAACCACAGCTCGACAGTCGCTAACGCCGTGGCCGCCAACATTGTGCGCCAGCTGCCCACAAATCTCAGCGCGCACAGTGTGCTCAGTGCCAACAACAATAGTGCAGCTGTAGCGGCTGCAGCAGCAGCAGCAGCAGCCGCCGCTGCCAGCAACAACGTAACTGTTGGCCCCGTGGCGGGCACGGGCGCTGGCTCGAGCGCGGGCATAACTGCCAGCCATGGCAACACCACGGTCAGCTATAATCTGCATCAGTTTGGTGGCGGGGGCGCTGCCTCCAGTGCCATTGCGGCTGCCGCCAGCCAGGCGATTGTTGCCACCCAACAGATGCCGCAGGGCAGACGCACGGCCAGCCTAAAGGCCAGCTACGAGGCCATTCACGGCGCTGGTGTTGCGGGCGGCACGGAGTTCTGGTCAGCGGCAGCGGTTCACAATAGTAGCATTCAGCCAGCGACTGGCACGTTGGCCACCAGCGTGCATCATCATACTCCACAGCAACAACAACAACAACAGCACCAGCAGCAACAACCGCAGCAGCAACAACAACAACAGCAACACCAGCACCAACATCATCAGCATCAGCATCAGCACCATCAGCATCATCACGAAAAGAAGCATAAGAAGTAAATGAAGCTCAACTGTTGCTGGGGTCTGTTCACTAATGGTTTATCTTTTTCTTGCAGAAAATTGAATGCCAGCATTTCAGTGCCCAGTGGAATAGCCTACAAGATCTGGGATGGCTCGTCGTCGGGCAATTCGATTGCATCGTCATCATCGTCGATCAGTGTTGATTCTGCAGACATGCTTTCAACTGCCTCCGCCGCACCCATACAACACGCTAATCTTGGCCAGGGCACACTGGCCATCAATCCACCATCGAATCAGTTGGCCACCAGCCATGCGACAGCTGCTGCAGTGGCAGCCACAGTGGCGCCTGTCACGCTGCCCACGGTTAACAACGTAGCATCGGCGCCCATTGGACTGCCACCCAGCACTTCGCTAGCTCCGGGCGCTAATCTAACCATTAGCGATACCGGGTTGGTTGTGGAGCAAACCAATGAAGGCGAATGGTCGTATGATCCCAACGAGCCGCGCTACTGCACCTGCAATCAGGTATCTTACGGTGACATGGTTGCCTGCGACAATGATGCCTGCCCCTACGAGTGGTTCCACTATCCATGTGTGGGCATCACACAGCCGCCCAAGGGCAAGTGGTACTGCCCCAAGTGCACAGCTTCTATGCGACGTCGTGGCAACCGGAAGAACTGAGCCACAAATTGAGCTGGAGCTGGACCTGCGAGGGAAGATATAATAAACTTAACATAGATCCAATATATTATTCATATATTCTAAAATTAGATGCCTGAAAAAAAAAATAATAAAATGATCAGCGGAGCGAGAATTTACCATTTTTTAATCTGCATTTGGCCCATGGAGTTAAGGACTCCGTACAATAAATAAAGCTCAATTTCATTTATTTCATTTAGAATATAATTTAGTAATCGGAAACAATTGAATGACCTGCATTTGGGATGCATATATCGATAGCCATTTCGTATATCGCATTTCCGAAAGCTAGATTTGTATATCGCAAAAGAAGTGCACATCACTAAGTGACGGCAGCAGCAGCAACATTGGCTTTGTCCGAAAACAAACTAAATAAAAAGTATTTTGCGTCGTGCAAACATAAATCAATACCGTAATTATATCTACGGTTGAAGAAGTAAGAGGCGAGACAGTCATTAACCAACTCATTACGTGCTCCCAACGGTTACAAATAACGGCCTCAAAATTGGCAAAATACGGAAAAACAAGAAAATGAGCTATAATGAAAAAAGCGAGGCCATCACTAAAGAGGAATGGCTGCAACGGCTGGAACAGTTCCCGTTCAAGCAGGCGGACATGAATCGCTTAATCATGAACTACCTGGTCACAGGTAATCACCCATACTAATTAGGAAAAACGAGAGATGAAAAATCAATCCATTTGGTATTTTTCCCTATTAAATATGTATGTATATCAATTTTGATTCCTCACAGAGGGGTTCAAGGAGGCAGCCGAAAAGTTCCAGCACGAAGCCGAGCTAGAACCTAGTGTTGAGCTGAGCAGCTTGGATGATCGCATCTTGATACGGGAGGCTGTGCAGGCGGGACGCATTGAAGAGGCAACGCATCTGGTCAACCAGTTGCATCCGGACTTGCTGGGCAGCGAGTTCTATCTATTTTTCCACTTACAGCAACTGCAGTTGATTGAGCTAATTCGAGCGGGCAAGGTGGAGGAGGCTTTGGTCTTTGCCCAGTCGAAGCTGTCCGAGTCGGGTGAAGAGATCCGCTTTGAGCTGGAGCGCACTCTTGCCCTGCTGGCATTCGAAAAGCCACAAGAGAGCCCTTTTGCCGATCTACTGGAGCAATCGTACAGACAGAAGATTGCCAGTGAGCTCAATGCGGCTATATTGCGATGCGAGCACAACGAGGACTCGACGCCAAAGATGATGTTTCTGCTGAAGCTTATACTGTGGGCCCAATCAAAGCTCGACAGCCGTTCGATCAACTATCCGAAGATGAAGGATCTGGAGACTGCGCAGCTGGAGAATAAATAAGTGTGGACCACCCAGACGGCACAAGCGGGGCTAACGGATAAACAATAACAAATAACAAATGTATAAGAGTGGGCGGGAGGGCGTGGCAGCGTTAGAGTGAAGTGAATGGAGTAGTATGTGCAAGCAAGGCAAAGTAATACCATTTCTATATCTATTTCTATATATATATATATTTTATAAACGTACGCATTAGGATTTTATGTTGCAAGATTGAAAATATCTGAAGCTGAATTTGGTTTCGAACAACAAACATTGATTGCATTTCATTTTATTACAAAATAACCTAATGCTACCGATGCAGAGCAGCTGGATTGATCGATCACCAGCCAAAAATCAGATCCATGGCCTTGTTTACCAGGCCCGTGCTCTTTTGGGGCACATTTCGATTGGGCGACACGTGAATCTCATTGTGGGCGATGTTGTAGGACTGCTGGGTCAGCGATCGCACCTTCGGCCTGAATGCCTCGGCATCTGGTTCCACTAATTTCACATTCTCCTTGTTGATGACGCTCTCGTCGGTGCAACGAGTTACGCCCACCATGACGTTGTTGGCAATCACCTTCAGATTGTAGTTCAATGCCTTGTCGCTCTCGATACGCGACGCGAAGCGCACGTGCATCCAGTTGCCGTTCTGTGGGGCGTGCACCACATCCACAATTGTGCCGCACATGGTGAAGTGCTGCAGTATCATRGAACTGGCTCCGGGTGCGAAGCCAAAGATTGTCACCCAAAAGTCACTATTCCGTGCCTGAGGAGTGTGCGGTACGTTCAACGGGGACATGTTGGCACCCAGCGGCGAGCAGAGGGCGCGCATCGAGGCGTTGACAGCATTGGGCGCATTTGGCACATACGAGTCATTCAGCTGCGTGGTTGGCGGTTGGCAGCTTTGATTCAAGCTGTAGTTCGAGCTGTTCAGATGGGACGTCTGCAACATGCCCAGATGTGTGCGGTGTGGCGTGCCGCACAGCTGTTCGTTGCGCAGCGAATCGAATAGACCCTGAGTGGGTGGGCCAGCCTGATGACTAGTGTTTGCGCTACTGGCATTCCCGCCATTACCACCACCACCAGCAGGCCCACTGGTGCCACCAGCAAATAAGGTACGCGTTCCCATTGCTGAACGATTTATTTGCTGTGGATTATTGTAGCTCGTTTCCTGGGGAGTGTTATTGTTTGGAGACGTAGCTGCAAATAACAAATATACATATATTTGCATATGATCCTCTAACCAGACTGTTTTATAAATGCATACCAAAGCTGATATTATACCGTCCTAGCTTAGGAGAGAGCGTGTTGTTTTGGGGCGTCATTGCCTGTGAGTCGCCCATGAGAAAAGGCGGCAAATATTGGCTTTGATTGCTGCCAGGACTGCTGACGGGACTGCCAAGATTCATGGGCTCCATTCTATTCAACAAATTTACTATCTGATGCAAAAACAAAACAAATACAACTAAACACTATGCTAACGAGTGCAACAACCGACGCCGCTATTTAAACAGCCATGCATGATGCTTCATAGCATTTAATTTTGCATAGAGTTGCGACCACAACTGTTGCAGTGAAAATTATCGAATATCTCGATAATACTGGCGTGTAAAGTTGCCAGCAATATCGGACCGGCCGCTTTTGGTATTTTTTAGTGGTATAACAATATGATCATATCGATAGTGTGGGCATCGATTGCCAGTTTCATTTTAGACATCTCAAACAACAGAGCTGCAGGGTAGGCGCGTGTGGCCTGTAAGCGTTTTCTTTTTTTTTTGTTGCTATTCAAAAGAATATATTTACTATACGCGACGCGTCTAAACTAGTGTATGTGTGTGTGAATAATTTGTTGCTGCGTTAATTTAAAGATTAATGCGCACAAGTGCATTAAATAATAATACCAAAAGAAAAACAACAGACAACAGCGCCCCTGCCCTTCAAAACAGCTCTACAATAATATTATTCCAATATAACTTCAAAATTCAAGTGAGGAGTTGTTATTTTGCCAAACTGCTAAAGGGTGCTAGCCGTTATGTGGAGTCCAACACATTGCAGTGTAACTGGTAAGTGCAGGTGTTGTTCACTCACTATCTCTATCTCTCCTGTCAGCTGGTTATACTCATAAGTGCCGTTGCATAAATAACATTTGAGAGGGGCTACTACCAAGACGCTCCTAAAATATCACATTTAACGTCAAACTGGTTTAGTTATTGTCACTGTATGTGTGTGTGTGTGTGTGTGTGTGTCTCACACTGACAGCCTGCATGCCTGCCTCTGTGTGTGTTTGTGTGTTTATGGGTTCAAAAAATCGTAAAATTTAAGCGCAAAGCCAATTGAACTGCTGTTAAATACTATTAATTGGTCAAATTACGCATTGTGTTTATTTTTGTCGACGTCTTATGGCGATTGGGACCTTAAAAGAATAACAATATTAACTTACACAGACATATTAGTTATGTTTGTAGTAGAGATTCTCTGTATGTGTGTTTTATTTTTATTTTTTTCGTGGTGAAAACCATTGTAACCTATTCAACATCTTGTTTAAAATTTCACTTTTTCTGTTTTCGACGCTTTGAACGCATGACCCCCGCTCTGCCCGCTGCTACTGCTGCCGCTGCTTCGGCGACTGCTGCCAGTTTTCCCGGTTTTCTCTTTTTGTTTAACCATACTTTATCTCGACACAATTGCAGTATCAGTGAATTACGTTGATAAGATTATGTATTTATTTGCCATTTGCCATTTTCATTGCCTCAATGCGATCATTTTTTGTATTATTTATATTAATATTTTTTCAGTCGCTTACTCACCGCTCGTGTCTAAAATCCACGAACATTTTTAAATCGCAATTCTAACTCCACATAGTCACACCCACAAACAAACACACACGCACACATTCGCTCTCCTCCTTTTTCGCTCTTTCCTTTTTTGCTTCTTCTCCAACATTATCTTGTTTTTGTTGTTGATTGATTTGCTAATGGCGCATGGCGCGCATATTTGATTTATTTTGATTCCGCCTTTTCTTCTTTGTCGCATTCCTTCACATACGTGCACATGTGTATGTATGTATGTATCTATATAACTGTGCATACATATATAGTTATGTATGTGCGTGTGTGCATTTTTAGTGGGCCTTTTGGTGCTCTTGCCCATCGAATTGGACATGTTTACGTTTTTGTTTTGCTTTCTTCATGGCTGAATGTCAATGAAAAATCAGCGCAAAATATTGCAATCGTGACAAAATGGCAAAAATCTACGTCAAAAAAAAAAAAAAAAAACTATCCGTCTCTGTCATTTGCTCTGTCTCGCGCTCTCTCTCTCTCTCTCTCTCCTTCATAGATTATTTTGCTAATATTGTTTTTAATTATGAATGTCAATTGCAAATATTGCATATTGCACAATTAAAGTAAACATGTGCATTTGTATGAATGCATGTGTGTGAGCATGTGCATACGTATAAGGCTGAATGCACACACACATTCATGCATGTATGTATACATATGTATGTAATTGCACAGATGAATAGGTAAATGACTCACGAAATGTTGAAAAGCTCACGACTGAAAAAAGCAGATAATGAACGCGCACACACGCGAATTTGTATATTTGTATGTATGTACATATGTATATATACTGATAAGGCAGATTGTAAATGCTCTCACACGCACACACACATAATTACCGATAAACAATTCTTGAAAGCACTGTCATCACCAATTAGGCTGCTTTTATTTTTGTTTGTCCTTTTGCGTCTGTTTCTCCACCTTGAACTTGCAGAACTTCGCAGCTTTGCCGCTGCGATACATACGTACATGTGTGTGTGTGTGTGTGTGCTTGTATATGTGTATTGGCATAGAGGCAATCCAAGTCCAGCAAATCAACGAAACTTCTATGCTCTTTTGCCAATAGGTTGATCTATCCAGGTATACGCAATGAAAATAGAATTAAGGGCAGGTGAATCATACGTTCCGGTATGCGCTCATTATGAAGATAAGTGCGGGTCTTTCTGTTTTATCACTAATTTTACTGCAACGACTCGGAGATATTGGCAAACATATAATGACACGTTGCAAGATAGAGGAGGCAAAAGTAATGTGTGTAAATCGGGGCATCGGTGGTTCTTTGGAGCTGGTTGCCAGCAAGTTGGCTTTAGTTCATTAGAGCTAGTTCCTAAACTCTGTTTTTGGTTGTCCATGAATGCAAGGCTTATATATAGTGTATATACTGTATTTATCTTCTATAAAGCAGTAACTATATTACTACCTCTTGAACATGTCGGGGGTTTTGGTTCTTTGAAACCGGTTCGTGAACTTGTATATTGTTTTTGTTTTATGTCCATGAACGTAAGGCCTTATATTATATATTTATGCATATATCTAATGCCCTTAGAGGAATTAGCGAAATTTGTTTCGGTTCGATTTGATTATTCTCAGTTTACAACTGGTTTGGCTTATATACATACATATATGTATGTATATAAGAAATGTTGTATGGCGCTCAAGCTCTGTTGAATGATTATAAAAAGACGTTGACGTCAATTAATAAACAAATCCGTTGCCAGCTTGTTGGTCGACTGCTCTCGCCTGTCTGTGTTTTGGCATTGTTTGCTTTCTTCTAGATTGATAAAAGTACCATACCAGGCCGTACCGCACCGCACCGCACCGCCCCGTCACCCCCATTCCCCCCCACAGGTGCAAGCCAACGACACTTGTCCAATTCATACCACGCTTCTCGCAGTCGTCGAAATAATACGAATATCTCTGTTTCTCTCGATTGTTTGCCAAAGTCTTTTATAAATATTTGCGCCTGAGATGAGCCTGAATCGTGTGAGGTGAGTGGGAGGAACAGCTGTTTGGTGTTTCGGAAAGCCGATTTCTTACCAAATTAAGCTCTGAAATACCTTAGGCATATGTGAGTGTTATGAATTGGATTATATTCAATGTAGAGTAATACATTATATATATGCCGACCACATGTTCATAAGAATCCAATTATTTGCTCAGTTTCCATCTATTTTTCACACTTGTGGGTGGAATTTCTAAAACACTAACTTGATTTTTTTTTCTCTTGTTTTTTGTTTATGATTTAGTTTAGTTAATTAAGTTAATGGCTTGCCTTTTTAATGGGGCACTTGGGTTAAGTAATATGAACACACCCACTGCATTGACGTGGCACTCCTCTATATTAGACTTCCCCCATTTCCCAGCACCCCTCCCCTTCCTCCCCCCGCCCTTCACACATTCACCTAGCCCATTTCGAGGCATATCCCAGGGCAAGCACGGTTCGTACTCTGTGTAATGTCTGCTTTTAGAAGTTGGCGGCTGTTTTTCCGCCAAACTTTGCGGCCGCCCAAGTGTGTGCGTTATTTTTAGCCATAAATTCTTGCCTAGAGCCCCCTACCCTCTCTCCTATCAAGGTGCTGGCCGGCTCGGTCGTGCACCGGAGTTACAGCAACGCAGAAACATCGATAAGAAATAGCAGCGAAATTGCGCAATATGTTGCCTTTTTTTAAAGCAGGCCACGAGACCATCAAACTAGCCAACCAATCAACCAGACAAACAAACAAAATTCCACCAAGCAACCAAGAGAAACACACGCATATTAACGATTCGAATTCAAAAAAAAAAAAAAAAAAAAAA